CAAGAGATGAAAATACAACACCCTCAAAGCAGTACTTTCCAGAAACTTTGTCTTTTTTTCAAAGGTTGAAACTATGACAACTCCTAAAACCACCACTAAATGACGTATTGTTTTACACCAGATAAAGTGGGGCATCAAGTCAAAACACACATGAAAAACACAAAATATTATGTCAATGAAAATGTCCATGAAATTAAATGTTCAGTGTCAATTAGTGGACAGGAGTACCTTGAAGCAGGGGGCGACGCAGAGGGGCTGATGGCACGTGTTGCGCTCAAAGTGTGTCTTCTGTCGCAGACCATTGGAGGCACAGAAGACACACCGCCGGTAGCGGAAGTTGCCGTAGCTGGTCCTCTCAAAGTCCACAGGGAAGTGTCGGCCGTCAAAGCGGGAGTTGGTGACTGGTGGAGTATCGTACTGAGGGCGGTACTCGGGCAAGGGCTTGTCGAACAGTAGCTCACGGACAAGACTCAAGCGGTAGTCGAGGAAGGGGAGGCGGTGACCAACGGCCAGGTACACGGCGTAGCTGTTCACCAGCATCAAGTCGAGCAGGTAGAAGAAGAGCTTCTTGTACCACTTGAGGGACTTGCGAGTAGCTCGATGATTTGCCGCTAGTTGGTGGCTCTTGTCAACGCCCCCCATCAGGGCGTTGTATTCGATGACGCAGGTCGGTTTCTGCTTTTCCTGCCCTGTCCTGCCTTGCTTGCCAGTGCCATGGATGTCTGCCATATGCATGGAGGAGAGCATACGGATGTTGCGCTTGTCTCGCCACACCATGGCCAGGAGAGAACCGCTGACACCCAGGTCGGCCGACCGGAATGCTGTTTCGCCCCGCTTCAGCTTGACGGACTGCAGGTCTTTCGGCATCCCTCTTCTGTTTGCCATGACGGTGCCGACGACATTGAACTTCTGGTTGTGAAGTCGTCGAAACAAATCGGGACTGCTGAAGGCCTGGTCGAGGGCAAGGTTGTAGCCCTTGCCACTTAGGTCATTCACCAGGTCCATCACCACTTGTGTAGTTGCTGGGAGTTTTCCTTTGTTTACTTAGTTTACTTTGGCCGGTGTAGATTTTGAAGTTGTAGCAGTACCCGGCGGCACTCCCGGTGCTCTGGCACAATTTGTACATCTTGATACCGAAGTGGGCCCTCTTTCTGGGGTTGTAGGTAGCGAAGCAGAGACGCCCGTAAAACTTCAGCAGGGAGTCGTCGACGGAAATGTCCCGTTGAGGAACATAGACAGTGGCAAACTTCTGAGCAAGATGGTCGACGACTGGGCGCACTTTGAAGAGGCGGTCGGTGCAGTCATCTGGCATGGCGGTGTTATCATTGAAGTGCAGGGACTGCAGGATGGCCAGGCAGCTTTCAGCAGCTCGTACATTTATTCCAGGCTTTTATAAGTTCGGTCACCCCGGCTATAAAATAAAGTCCCAATTCTCCGGCCCCAGCAACCCATTATTGCCTCGGACCAATTTATTTACCGCCAATGATGGCTCAAACTTTTTAACTGACAGCCCCATACTTTTTAAGAAACGCCTAGCAACTTTTTTTTTATAGTAAAGTTCCGATTTCGGAGTCCCCGGCCACGAATATAAGACTCCCCCTTATTTGTATAATTATAAATATGTATTGCCACTCTAAAAAAACATAATTCTTAGATAATATCTAACGTAACAATAATTGACTTGCACATCTCAGATTTTCCTTGTACAAAATGAAGAAAGAGAGTGCAGGACCACTGTCCATGACATCTGTTGCACTATGCTGGACATTTTGGCGCAAAAACTGAATTTTCCTTTTTGTAACTGTGACTAGAAAGTTGTACTCTATGATAAACCCTCCGAAACCACTCTTCCCTTCAATTGGCCATGTGAGAACTGTAAGTTAAGGGTCTATTGTTGTCTGAACTGACGCCACGCAGAATCTGCAAGATCCAGGCCGTCTATTTTTTTGCTCTCGTGAATGACAGGAAGCGTGTTTGGTTGCAATTCGGGTCGTCAAGTTAACATTGTTTTTTCTCTGCTGCACCGAGTCTCCGTCCACCAAGCCTACCTCTATTCGGGGCGTGTCATCTTGGCAGGCCGGCCATGATTCACTGATTTTCAGTGCGTGTCAGGCATTTTGCCTGTTCTGCTCTGGTGAGTCCCGTTGAGTAGGCACGCAGAATTTAGGTGCCAAGTGACCTGGTTTCGTATTGTTTGCTCTCCTTATCCTGTGTGTATATAACATTCCTTTTCCTTTTGTTATCACCGGAGTGTTACCATCTCTGGTGTGCTCAGGCTAGCAGTGTGTAGCCTGTGTATTTGTATAGCATTACTTGCGAAAGTGTCGCCATTACTATTCCTAATTAGCATTTGGTAGTAGTCGTTTCACTAGGCTAGCAGTTGTAGCCCATATTTACCTGTTACTTTTAGTGTTGGATTTTGGCTTTTTTTGTTTTGTCTGTCAGCAGTTGTGACAGACGCCCTTTATTTATCCAAGGAATTCCTTTTGTTCTTCTTCGTTGATTTCAACGACAGTATATCATTATGGTTGATGTTTCCCATAAAGATTAGGTTATTGAGGTACAGTTTCTGGAGCCAACAACCCCCAGATCTTTGTTTCAGAAGCTCTCTGGAGTTGGCATTAAGGCTGCAGACCACCTGGCAGCCGTCCAACCATTGCCTGGTAACAAATTTGATATTGTATTTAAGTCGGTGGCCCTGTGCAGACAGTTGCACCCTCAAGTGAGCAGTATAGATGGGTGCATGGTCACCCGATTTAACGATATTGTCATTATCACGATACATTATATTAGCATGTGTATTCATGACAGCATTGTTCGCAGTATTTTGAGTGAGTTTGGAGAGGTGATTGCCGGTCGATTTACGACTTACGGGGACAACCCCACAGTGTTCAACGGTACAAGGCAGTATAAAATGAAATTGACCAAGCCTATTCCCACGGTTCTTCGTATCGGGGACCGAAATGCATGGGTCTCGTATCCAGGTCAAATTCGCACGTGTGCCCGTTGTGGAGAACAGGGACACTATGCCAGAGACTGTACTAATACTAAATGTTTTAAATGTCTTCAGATTGGCCACGTTGCGGGTGATTGCCCTAATCAAGTCATTTGCACAATTTGCAGGATGGAGGGCCATAGCTTCCGCTATTGCCCTAAATCTTTTGCTAAGGCAGTACAACCAGACAGAGCTTGGAGTTCGGTTTCGAGCAACCCCTCCACTTCATCAGGTGATCAGGTAGCCATTGCTCCTGATGCCAGCTCGAAAGAGAAAGGGTTAAAGGAATTGCCAGCTGGGAAGTGTCTCAAATGTAAACAGAGTGCTGGTCCTTTTCATCCTAGTATCTGTTGTTTTTCTTGTAAACTTCCTCTTTCCTTTTCCAAGCCTTTTTCCATTCTAGAGTGTGCAGCATGCAAGGGTGTTAACGGTCAGCCATCGCTGGTGTGCCATCGGGATAGTTGCAAGTCTGTTCAGGCACCTGAATCTAATGACGGTTTTCGGGTGGTGAGGAGAAGAAAGAGAGCTGCAAAAAGATCTAGTTCTCCCCCCGTCCAGCCATCTACTAAGAAGGCAACGCCGATGCCCTCGTCGACTGGAGGCGGTGGAGAGACAGCTCCCACTGCAGCGGATATTTTTGGTTCCGATTTAGATAGTGTCTCCTCTATGGATTCTTGTCCCGCGAGAGACCCGGTAAGGACTCATTCTTCTTCTTCCACTTCTGCTTCTGACCTTTCTTCTTCTGAGAATTCAGGAGACGAGTCTACTTTCGACAGGGATTCCACCTCTGATGATGAAGCGGCCGGTATAGATTCCAGGGTCCAAAAGAAAGTTCGGCAGCACTTGATGGCTCTGGACCTTCCCGGTTTTTCCGAACCGGTAAGATGTCGGGCTGTTCAGTGCCCTTTCACTACGTCTGCGTGGTCGGGTCTTTCCCGGCATGTAAGTAATATCCATAAAGACGAGTCCCTTTCACAGATTAGATGTCCATGGTGTAATTTCANTTGCTTACTACCCAGACAGGTGGTGCCGTCATATTGGCAGAAAACACTTTTCCCTTGCTCTCAAGGAAAAAACGGACTTCTTTTTGGAGTTCTTGTAATTTTTCTTGGTCCTCCTAAAACCTTTTTTTCCTTATGGTATTTCTCCAGGGTTATTTCCTTTTTCACTTCATGATTTCATTTCTTACTCTCAATGTTAACGGTATGTTGGACTGTAACAAACGTCAGCATGTTTTTAATCTTTGCCGTAATTATGATATTTGTTTTTTGCAAGAATGCCACATCTCTCTCCCTTCGCAATTAGAGCTGTGGAAAAAGGAGTGGAAAGGGGAAATTTTGGCCAGTTTTGGCTCTTCCTTTTCCTGTGGTTCAATTCTTCTTTTTAAACCTCGTAACAGTTTTTCCATTTCTCATTTTCAGACAGATTCGCAAGGTAGAATTGTCTGCTGTTCTCTCGATGGCCCAGGTTGGTGTGCTAAACTCATCGGCGTATACGCGCCGAACAACCCTCTCCATAGGAGGAATTTTTTTCTTAACTTATCAAATTTTCTCACTGGTAATGGTCCTTTCATTTTAGCAGGTGATTTCAACTGTGTCTTAAATTCTTCTCTAGACAGGATAGGAACCTCAACGCTCTCCTGCGACATTGGTTCCCAAGAACTCCAACATTTATGTGACGACATGTCACTTATTGATCCTTGGCGAGTCTCTCACCCTAATCTTCACGAGTACACCTGGAGAAATGCCTCTAATTCTTTTTGCAGTAGGTTCGACCGTTTGTATATTTCTAATTGTCTTTCTTGTTCTTCTGCTGTTCATTTGCCTGTTTTCTTTTCTGACCATGACGGTGCGGTCCTTAATTTAAGGCCCGCTTCTGTTCCTGAAAGAGGCAAGGGGTTCTGGAAATGTAATACTTCCACTCTTTCCGATCCCATTTTTCAGTCTGATTTTAAATCCGCATATGTAGGATGGAGGCTTCGATAACCTTCTCGAATGGTTGGAGGATGTGAAACTTCGTTCTAAGAAACTGATTATTTCTCACTCTTTTCGTCTCTCCAGAATTCGGGATAGGAAAAAACAAAACATAACTTCTCTTCTTAACAGTGGGAATAATGATCGCAATCTTCTTATTGATTATCATGCTATTAAACAGCAGCTCTCTGAGCTCGAAGACTTCCTTGCAGAAGGTGCAAAAGTGCGTGCCAGGGTCCAACATTTAAACGACGGGGAGCATCCATCTAGTTTTTTTTTTTAGGTCTGAATATAATCATAAAAAAGCTTCCTCCGTTTCTGCAGTGCAACGGTCAGATGGAACTATTGCTTCTTCGCCCCAGGAAATTCTGGGTGTTTATAAAAACTTTTACGCGTCTCTCTTTTCTTCAGATAGCACTTTTTTATCGACCAGATTTCTAGTTTTCTTTCTGAGGGGAGTGCAGAAAGTCTTGAAGAGACTCTTTCTCTTCCCGAACTGGATTCTGCTCTTCGCAGTATGCAGAATGGTAAGTCCCCTGGCAGCGACGGTCTGCCTAAGGAATTTTATCACACTTTTTGGGACCTTCTTGGTCCTGACCTTCTTGGTGTTTTTAACTGTGCTTTTAATTTACAGGTTTTATCCAACTCGCAAAGGTCTAGAATTATCACTCTCTTGGTTAAGTCAGGTGATGGCACCTCACCTCAGAATAAAAGGCCCATTTCTTTGCTGAATGTTGATTATAAACTGCTTGCGAAAGCATTATGTAGTCGTCTTTCTTCTGTGTTGCCTTCTACTATTAGTCCTTTCCAAACTTGTGGTGTTAAAGGTAGATCCATTCATGATAATGCACGCCTTTTTCGTGACCTTGGTTTTTATGCCGATGAGAGAAATTTAAATTCACTTTTTATCTCTCTCGATCAACAGAAGGCTTTTGATCGTGTTGATTGGAATTTTCTTGTGAAATTTGGATTTGGGCCTAATTATGTCAAATGGCTCCGCATTTTATATACAGACATTTCTAGTCAAGTTCTGGACAATGGCTTTCTTTCTGATCCTTTTCCTCTACAGAAAGGTGTCCGGCAGGGATGTCCATTGTCGCCTCTCCTTTATGTCGTTTTCATTGAGCCCTTTGCGGCGGCTGTTCGCAATGATGAAGACATTCAAGGAATCTTCATCCCCGGTAGCAATAACATCCAGTGTAAAATTGTGCAGTATGCGGATGATACTACTTGTATTGTACGTAATGCTANTTTTCAAGGTGCTAGTGGTTCTAGACTTAATGTCAATAAATCCAAAGGCTTTGTTTTAGGTGATTTTAATGAACGATTGTGCGACCTTTGTCCTATATTGTGGACAAGGGAGCCAATCAACATCAACGGTTTCTGGATAGGCAAAGGCAACATGTCCACGAGAAACTGGGAGAACCGGTTAAATAAACTCCGCCCCTGTGTTGAGAGTTGGAAGCGTCGCTCCCTCTCTCCTTTTTGGCAAAGTTTCAGTTATCAATACTGTCTTCCTTTCTCGCCTTTTCTATGTTTCTCCTGTTTACCCTCTGCCGGTCTCCATTGAAAGGAAAATTAACAAGATCATTTTTCCATTTTTGTGGTCAGGTAAAACAGAACTGGTTCGCCGAGCCACTGTCTGCCAGCCAACAGAACGGGGTGGCCTTGGTGTCACGAGCGTGAGGTTGAAATCGGACGCCATTTTTGTCAAAGGTCTGTGTTCTTTTTTTCGTGATGACACCCCACCTTGGGTTTTTTTCGCCGCTTTCTGGTGTTCTCTTTCCCTCCGTGACATTCTTCCACCTGTGTTTTCTTCACATCTTCGTCCTCATTCCTTTTCTGTTCCACCTTTCTATTCTACCTTGTGTTCTGTAATTTGTTCTTTGCCTAATTTCCGTTCAATCAACTGGAACAGCGCTACGGTACACAAATGTGTATAATCTTCTCGTTAATCAAACTAGAGCTATTCTGCCTCGCTCACATGTTTTCTTTTCTTTCCTGCAGTTTTCATTTTTAGTGAATAACCACCTCGACCACTCCCTGCGAGATTTTAATTGGCGAATTCCATGGAAGGCTGTCAAAACAGCTCAGCGACTGTCTTCGTGGGGCATCGGCCGCGGCAAATGTCCAAGACTCAATTGCAGCTGCAATGAATCACTTCTTCACTTGCTGTGGACCTGTTCTTTTGTTTCTTTGTTGTGGGACTGGGCTTCCTATGTAGGAGTTCGTGTTTCCGGTCCCAGTTTTACTATTTCCCCTTCACTCATTTTCATTGCGGATGGTCTTAACCCTATGGATATCAACGACAGGTTTATTTGGTTTGTTATTTCGACATTAAAATGGCAAATTGGAAATTTCGTTGTCGAGCTATGTACGACGGTACTCATGTTGACCCGGTTTCCGTTCTACGTATTTCGAAGCGTTTTTTAAAACAGCGTGTTGAGGCTGATTTTTGCAGACTAGATAGAGATCTTTTTTTAAGACGATGGAGTAAGTCGGGCAATATCATTTCTGTCCGCAACAACCGGATTTAGTGAACTTGTAGTGGACTTCTATTTTGCCCCTTTTGCCCCTTTGTCTTAGTATTTGGTGCTAAGTCTGTCAGGGTAAAAATTGTTCGCTTTTTTTCCCTAGGGTTAAGGATTTAGGGGCCTGTCCTCTGGAAAGGTCGAAACATCACCGATGCCGTAGGGTCCTTTAGGGAATCCCTGCAGCGGGACAGGCCAAACCCCATACTGCGGTTTGGAGGACAGACTTAGTGCTTTTCTTTATTAATTCTTTTGCTCTGAGTTTTTGTGACTTGCTGTTCTCTGTAGATGAAAAAAGCAATTATTTATGACGTTATCACTAAATGAGCTCAATATTTGCCTAAAGCACTTCCTCTCCGAGATATAAGTTCTTGAGTTTTTGTGACTTGCTGTTCTCTGTAGATTTTCATCTAGGAGGCTTTGCTGTCTTTTAATTCAATTTTCTGGAGGCTCTTGTTGCTGTTTGTGGGATTTTAGATAGTTCTTTGTCGTTTTGTGACTGGTTTTAGTGTAGGTTCCAAAGTCAGGCAGGGGGAGTCCTACTCCCACGAAAACTGTGGTCTGCCGTGGCCAGCCTGCCTGGGGACTTCTTGTCCCAAAATAAAAAAACGGTCGGATGTTGTCA